TGTAAACTAGAGAAATGTTTATTTGACCAATCCGAAGTCCAGTTCTTGGGGTACTTGATTTCCGCCAAAGGGTTTCGTATGGATCCCCAGAAGCTTTCTGCTGTCATAGAGTGGCCTCTACCACAGGGTTTGAAAGCAATTCAACGTTTTCTTGGTTTCTCTAACTATTATAGACGCTTTATTAAGGGTTTTTCTTCTATTGTAGCACCTATCACCCGTATGACAAAAAAGGGTGGTAATACTCGTGTCTGGTCTCCCGAGGCACTTCAGGCTTTCGACTTTCTTAAAACTACATTTGCCTCTGCACCTATTTTACAGCACAGTTGATGCTTCTGAAATCGGGGTAGGTGCTGTTTTGTCCCAAAGAGAATCGCCTGAAAGGCCATTGCATCCTTGTGGCTTCTTTTCTAGACAAATGTCCAAAGCTGAAAGGAATTATGATGTGGGTAATCGTGAACTCCTTGCTATTATCTTAGCTCTTAAAGAATGGAGACACTTGTTAGAAGGAACTAAGGATCCTATCCTCATTTTTACAGATCACAAGAATCTATCCTACCTTGGTGAAGCTAAAAGATTATCTTCTAGGCAGGCTAGATGGTCACTATTTTTGTCCCGTTTCAATTATATTATCACAATTATTCAATTATATATTCAATTATATTATAGGCCAGGTGATCACAACATTAAAGCAGATGCTCTGTCCAGACAGTTCGAAACTACTGACAAACAGGAGGTTGATGTTACTCCTGTCATTCCCCCAGACAGGATAATAGCCACTACTATGTTGTCTATTTCTTCATCCCTCTTGCAGACCATACAGGCGAAACAAAGTATGGCACCTAGCGAGAGGCCTATTGATAAATTGTTTGTTGAAGTTCCAGAGAGACGGGAGATTCTGTCATTATATCATGATACTAAGACTGCTGGACATCCTGGTATTACCAAAACGATGTCAGCAGTTTCTCAATATTTTTGGTGGGGTTCCTTACGCAAGGATGTCACTGACTATATAAGTGCTTGTACTACTTGTGCATGTATGAAAACGTCTCGTAGAGTTCCTTGTGGGCTTCTGCATCCCTTACCAGTTCCCGAGAGACCTTGGTCTAACCTATCCATGGATTTTATTGTTGAATTACCCCCTTCGAATGGTAACACAGTCATCCTGATGATAGTAGATCGGTTTTCCAAGATGGCTCACTTTGTGTCTCTTCGCAAGTTGCCCACATCCAAGGAACTGGCTCTTGTCTTCGCTAGAGAAGTATTTCGGTTACATGGTATTCCGGTATCTATCATGTCCGATAGGTGTAGCCAATTTATTTCCAGGTTCTGGAAAGCCTTTTGCTCAGAAATGGGTATTTCTCTCTCATTTTCTTCCGCTTACCATCCCCAGTCTAATGGAGCTGCTGAACGTGCCAACCAGTCTCTGGAACAGTACCTTCATTGTTTTGTGTCTCACCATCAGGACAATTGGTCTGACCTGCTTCCTTGGGCTGAGTTTGCTCGGAATAATGCCACTCATGATTCTTCCGGCAAAAGCCCTTTTTACGTTGTCTATGGCCAGCATCCCTTTGTTCTTCCGGCTGCATTCTCCTCACAGGGCATGCCAGTTCTGGATGAGCATTTGGCTGGTTTGCGTAATACTTGGGAGCAGGTTCAGCGTTCTTTGGTGGATTCCGCTGCTCGCCAGAAGGCACAGGCTGACAAGCATCGCAGGGCGGCTCCTACTTATGTTGTGGGGACAGGGTTTTGCTTTCCACGCGGAATATTCGCCTGCGGGTGCCTTCTATGAAATTGGCTCCCCGTTTCATAGGTCCTTATCGTATACTGCATATGGTTAATCCTGTTTCATACGCCTTGGGTCTTCCTAGGAATCTGCGTATTCCTAATGTATTTCACACCTCGTTGTTGAAGCCTTATGTACGCAACCGCTATAACCGGCATTCCCCGCCTCCAATTAAAATCATGGGGTAAAACCTGCCACGACTCTTGTATGAGTAAAGTCACCCCTTTAAATACCATTAATGTTCCTACTACTCCTCCTTTATCTACTGTGATACCTCCTCAGTACTTGTTTCTCAAAACTGTATTCGATAAAAGGGAAGCTGATAAATTACCGCCTCACAGATCCTATGATTGTGCTATCGATTTATTCTCTGTGGAGGGTCATGAGGAATTCGAAGTCTCTGCTGTTCTTGGCTCTCGTTACCTTAGGGGTCGACTTCAGTACTTGGTGCATTGGAAGGGTTATGGGCCTGAGGAGCGCAATTGGATTTCAGCTGATGCTGTTCACGCTCCCCGCCTTGTGTGTTCTTACCATTCTCGTTTTTCTGCCAGGCCTGGCCCTACCCGCCCGGAGGACGTGTCCTCAGGGGGGGTACTGTAGCGTTACTCACCTTATCCAGGGGCAGGCCGCGGTCCTCTCTTCGAGCCGCGCGCGGTCCTGCTGCTGCACGAGCCGCGCACGGCTCATCCGACGGCCTCAACAGGAAGGCGGGCAGTGACCGTGAGAAGCGGTCACGTGTCCCGCCTGAATCTAAGAGCGCGCTGCGAGTTGTTAAAAGGCTCCCATTGGCCCCTGTCATGCCACACTCCCCATACACTTACCTTTTGGGGTGTGGATATGACAGGAGCCAATCACATTAGTTTAGAAGCTATATATACTTACCTCTCCCTTTACTCCCTGCCCGTATCAGTTCCCTTTAGCGCTTGTTGTGTTCAGTTGTGTTTCTCCGTTTTGACTTTGGCTTTGTTTCTGACTACGTTTTCTCTTTATCCTTTTCTGTTCTGGTTGTCGGCTTGCTGTTTACTGTGTACCAGACCCCGGCTTGTCCTAGTTTACGCTGTCTCTCTGTGCCATTGACTTCGGATCGTTCCTGACTCTGCCTCCTCTCATATACGTCGAGTCCGGCCATTCTAAGGTCCGGTAGACGTATCTCTCCTCTGTGTTGTCTTCTGTTTAGTCGAATCCTGCGTGTTGGGGTATATTCTAGTTACAGTATATCCGTTGAAGAGTCTCCCAGGTCCAGAAGTTAAGCAGTGATTATAACTCTGAGCTAACCAAACATCAGCCAAGACTTGATGAAGGGTACTGTGGGGATATTTATTGGATAATAATAGTAAACAGTGAGAATTGCCCACTAATTCAATTCTCAGATACCAAAGATCGTTATTGTGTAATTTGAAAAGTATTTCATATAAATAAAATCACAATATGTTATAAAAATAGATTTATTTTATAATAACCAATAATTAACAATAATATTAGACAACATGCATGATAATAATCAGCTAGTATTTAGTACAACATAGTATACAATACAATGGAATGGGTATACACGTTTCAATGGCTAAACAGCATTTTCTGTCAAGACTTACACGATTTATGAGGTATCCTTACAGACACAGAAAGCGAAGCTCTTCACAGCGAAGGGCCATAAAACCCTGGCTAACAGTTAGATCAACTGAATAACTCTTTCAATGCTGGCTAGATCCTCCTAGGTAATTAAGATCTATTCTTATGTAATTTTAAATAAAATAACATTTGAACCAGCTCATTAGTCATTTCCTGGAACAATCCAATAAGAGAATCTACCATGTTTTTTTTTACAAAAGCCGAATTTAATTTGTCTAAAAGATATCTTATCTTATATTAGAGCAAATCAATATACCTGGATAAAAACAGCGGTATGCTAACATGTGATACTATCACATTAATATATAATTATTCTTAATTCCACCTGCAGAATGGAATGTTTATAACTATATATTCTTTAGTTAACTAAGATTTCTAAATATGGAAATCTGACCGTGATTTATCCAGTCATATATCATGCTATCAGAAAATATTAATTAATTTAATTAATTAAATGAAACCAGTATAATTATCAGTTGAGTAGATATTTCATCAGATTGGTAGGTAGTCTCAGGAACTTATTTGGATGTCTCTCTGCATGGAGGTGTGTAGGAATTTCTGAGTGTCCTAGAGTGTCATTGCTCCCGACTGCTCACTTCTTTGCTTCCTTTGCATACCCTTGCATTCCTCGCCTACCTTCTTCTTCTTCTCTCTTCCCTTTGTCTTAACTTTTTAAAGGGAAAATTCACTAGTTGATAGACCAATAGGAACACTGGAGGTGTGGTTACCTTCCAGATAGCAATTTAGTATTTGGTCTATAGAGGGCAGTCTTGTCCCACTAAACATACCTATCCAGGAAAGAGTTAACTTTTCTTGGTGGCTATTTTGACGTCATTTTGCTTTATCTTTATGGTTGCCATAACTTACGTTTTCCTTCACTTCAAAGGGTTTTCTCTTAGTTTTGTCCAGACTTAGTGTCCGCAATTCCTGCTATAATTTCTAATATGACAGTTCGTAAACTAAGTTTCACCTTAAACTACAGTGGGAGGTTATACAATATAAAAAGTAAAATTAAATTATTTAATCTTCTCTGTCACAAATGTCTGGGTTTAGAATTGATTATATTCCATTAGCATTTAGACAGTCTATCCAACCCCCGTTCTCCTTATCACTTGGTTTGTATATACTATGCATTCCTTTAGCTCTGGGAAAGTGGTTAGTTTTACAGATAGAAATCTTGTGTCTTTTGTTAGCTTGAAAATAACAAAATGGATTCTGCTCTGTTTAAAAGTAACTCAGCATATACACTTTTAATTTCTATCATAGCACAAGATGTCTGCCGATATAAATACCCTGACATAACCCCCCTTTATTGCATTTCGTAGCCGAAAATTAGTTTAGCTTATGAATAAGCACTGTAGAAGTTACCAGACATATTGTGCAATCACATCATTTCAAACATAGGCCCGTGCGTGGAATGAACATTTTTGTATATATTTGTACCTGTAAGAGTTTTGAACTTTACACTTAGTACAATCAACCATAATATCATTATTAACATAGTACATTGTTTTCATTTGAAAAATGTTTTTGGGAGTTACATATGGTATGGCCAATAAAAAGCAAATCTCCATACGTTCCGGATCAATTACGGGGGTATAGCGCTCCCCATCTCAAAGGCCAGATTTAATTTCATAGGCTCAATTGTTTCTCCATCCACATTGGCAAGCATCGCATGAACAATATCCTTGGATACAAAATACAGAGGTATGCGTCCCCCTGCCAATTCGATCATTCCAGTTTGCACTTCGTCAAGAAAAGCAAGTGTGTGGAACAATATTGGGTCATGCAGAAATAGAAGTTCACGCTTAAATAAGTCATGACTTTGGTGCAATTCAGTGGATTTGGCAATTAACTCCGAATGCAAATTTGTTGTAACAACTGTGTCTTGCACAATAGTTAACACGTCTTGGAGAAGTGTTCTTTGCTGTTTTATCACCTGATGAATATCGTTAATGTGTTGCTTCAGCGCATAGATTTCCATATCCAGCTTTTGGACAGTAATAGAGTTGGCTGCAGACATACCAGTTGCGACAACTGCACCGACAGTGGCACAAACTAATGCAACAATTACAGCGGTGAGGAACCTTTTGGGTCGGTTGCTCATCGGAATAGAATTGGATACAAATGGTTTCCGGGCTTGCTCCAAGATGTTTCGCACACGGTCCTGTGCTCTTTGGAGGTGCATCTGGTACCAAGTCTGTAACTCAGGGAGCTGCATCGATGAAATGTTGTATGCCTTCTCGATGGAAATCTTGGGGTCCAAGCTGACGAATACACGTCGGGTCAGGATCCTCTTCTCTGTCAAGATGAACCCTGGTGTCTCTTGAATCAGGATGCCGGAGGATGGTCCCATCTCTGTGATCGGGTCGGTCCGTAGCTCTTGGCACAGGAGCAGCACGATCCAGAAACACGCCACATCCTTCTTGGACATCTTTCGACAGTCACGGATCAGGAATTCGTTTCAGACTTATCTACTAATGATTCAAGGTTTGTTAAGCATACAAACTTATAACAGTGTGACATCACTTGGCCTAGGACAACACAATATCACGATTCATCAACATATTTATTCTCTCTAATTCCATTTTTATACTTCATCCCTCACTACATTTATTACTGACTATTCAGTAATTTCGCCTATAGCAGTTAAACAAGCTAGTAACCTGCTTAGAAAATGTAGTTATTGGATGGCAAGGAAATGGTTAATGACATGAACGTACATGAGATCATGGCACATCACAACATTTCACATCATACTATACCACGTAAATCAAGCATTCATCCAGGTTAGTCATTCACCCTTCTGCGTCTGAATCCACACCTATAATCCTTAATTGAGATTTAGGATGACAAGCACGCACCTGGTTAATGTGAACCCACTTTTCAATAAAATCACCATCCTTATGAATTTTTATCTTATACGCTACAGGGGAAATTTTGTCAATGATGACATATGGCCCTTTCCAAGAAGGTAAAAATTTATTTTCCTTGACTTGATTTCGCGCAAAGTTATACAGATAGACTTGATCTGTGATCTCATATTCCTTTTTCGTGGTTTTTAGATCGTAATAGGTCTTAACCCCTGTCGCTGCTTTTTCTAGATTCTTTTGGGCAAAAGCAAACGCATGCTGTAAATGCTTGCGCAAATCTTCAATATACTGATGCGTAGTGGCAGCATTGATCAAGTTATGATCCGAAGTACGATATAGTAAATGCTGTGGTAAAACCATCTTTCTTCCTGTCATCAATTCAAAAGGTGACAATTTGGTAGCAGTGCTAGGTGTAGCTCTAATCGCCATTAAAACTAGGGGCAATTTAATGTCCCAGTCTTTACCAGACTCCTTAACATATTTCTTCAGAATATTAACGATAGACTGGTTATATCGCTCTACCCCCCCGCTAGACGCAGCGCGGTATGCAATATGTAGCTTTCATTTAACACCTAGAATTTTCCACATCTTAGCCATTATTTCGCTGGTAAAATCACTACCTCTGTCTGACTTAATTCTTTGAGGCAGACCGAACCTGGAAAAGACATGGTTAATCAACAAAGTGGCGCACACGGTACTCGTGTTCTCTTTACAAGGCAAACACTCTATCCACTTTGTGTACATACATGTAACGGTTAACATGTATTTGTTACCTCTTGAAGATCTTGATACTGGACCTATAAAGTCAATTTGACTATCAGACCAGGGTAATGACACCCCCCTCTTCTGAAGTGGTGCACGATGGGTTGGACCATGGGGTTGATATTGCGGACAAATCAAGCATCCCTGACAGTATGTCTTAACATCCCTTAACATGTGTGGCCAATATGCATAATCACGCAATATCTCATATGTGATCTTATCACCACGATGCCCAGATGTAGGTGCATCATGTGCGTGTTGGAGCATTAACCCTCTGTATACAGTTGGGACTACCCATTGTTGAATACCATGTTTAGAAGTTCTGACCAGTAACCCATCCATGATACTAAATTGGACTTTATATCTCATCAAGATTCGTAAATCTTCATTATCTTTGCAATCCTCATCTGTGATGGGATTGGCAGTAGGGTCTTCTATATGTTTATAGAATATGCCTAAGACGGGATCGTTCTTTTGACTAGTAATCAGGTCCACACTAGGAGCTTCTTGACTCCATTGCACGACGTTTAAGTTGGCATTATCTCTAGCCTGTCATCTAGTTATGGCTTCAGTGTGAATTGAACCCATAAGATCATCAATAGTTAGGGTTTCACCATTGATGGCTGCCTGTTTTGCCAGTGAATCGGCTAAGTCATTACCATCCTTGTCAATACCTTCTATTTTAGAATGGCCTTTGGTTTTCTTCCAATATATGGTTAAACCATTTTCCTTAACCAGTTCATCGATTTTACAAAACAATTTCCCATGTTTAACAGGTTTGTTATTGCTTTTCAGCATTTGGTTACGTTTCCAGCTAGGCAGATATTCGACGAAACTGTTGCGAACATAGTTTGAATCAGTTATAATAACAAATTCTTTGATACCATATTCTATTGCCATTTGAATGGTCTTATATACTGCACAGAGTTCGGCTATCTGACTGCTTTTGGGACCAATATTGTATCCTATAGATACATTGGGATAATCACCTGTCCAGGCGATTCCGATACCTGCAACTAACTTCCGTTCAGCACCAACGACGTGGTGATATGAACAACCATCAATGTATACCCACGGTAGTGGTCGACAGTATTCCTCGTCATAAACTTTATAAGGAGATAGCAATTGCTCTTCTAGGAAGTCATCTCCGGTGTCATTATCATCCAGAGATGGAGCAGTACAGTCATGTAATTCTGCTAAACCTTGGGCAACTGGGCTTCTCTTATTATGTTTATAACGGACTTCTAGCGGCCATCCCTGTAAGGATAGAGTCCATGCAGTAATCCGACTGTTAGAGAGATTACCGTCTCTGATTCTTTCACTCTGCAGATACTGTAGAGGTTGGTGAGCCATTTCTACAATTATTTTCTCACCTTGGATATAGCTACGAAAAGTTTGTAGTGCCCAGACAGTCGACAATAACGCCTTCTCACACGTGTTGAATTTAACTTCAACAGGCGACAAAGTCTTGCTAGCATATGCAATAACTTTGTTTAAACTGTCCTGCTTCTGATACAGAACAGCACTGATGCTTAAGTCGGTATAACCTGTCTCCAGATAGAATGGTTTACCCCCCTCTGGGTATGCTAAACAGGGTGCCTGAGTGAGCTTCTTCCTCAGTTCACTTACCGCTTGGTCCTGAGGCTCCCCCCAGTTCCAGGTAGTTTCCTTTTTAAGCAGGTGTAAGAGTGGTTTAGTTATTTCTGCATAGTTATCTCTAAACTTACGGGAGTAGTTAGTCATACCAAGGAACGATCTTAATTCCCTGATGTTTGAAGGTGTTTTAGCCTTTAGTACGGCTTCAACCTTCTTCCTCTGGGGATTTAATCCTTCAGAAGTTACCTCATGTCCGAGGAAATTGACATGGGTGCGACACCATTGCGCCTTTTCTAAGGACAGTTTAATCCCTGCCTCTCTTAACTGAGTGAGAACATGTTTGATCTCTATGATATGCTTATCAAAGGAAGTGCTTTTCAGCAAGACATCGTTGACATATGATAACGTTCCTCTCTTGAGTGCGTCAGGCATAGCTTTATGCATAAACACAGCGAATTCATGACCAGAGTTTATGTAACCAAAGGGCATACGGGTCCAGGTATACTGCTGCTTTCCAAATGTGAGAGCCAATTTGTATTGGTCTTCATTATGGACTGGTACAGTCCAATATCCCTGCGCACAGTCAATGGCAGTGAATATTTTGGATCCCTGCATTTGTACCAAACATTGGTCTATGTATGGCGTTGGCCAACCAGACATATAGACGCGTTTATTTAGCTGTCGTAAGTCAGCGCATAAACGCCATTGTCCATTAGGTTTCAGAATCCCCAAGATCGGATTATTATACGAACTGTGCACTGGACGTATAATGCCCCTTTCCTTTAAATTCTGAATGATGTCTTGTAGACCATCATATGACGCTAATGGGAGTCTATATTGTTTGATAAATACAGGTGGTAAATTTGGATCAGTTTGTATTCTGGCTACGTGGAGGTTAGTTAACCCACAGTCGTAGGAATCTTTGGCAAAAATATCTTGGAATTCCAAAAGGATTTCCTTTAGCTGTTGCCGCTCAGCATCGTTGGAGCAACCGTCAGCTAAAGATATTTGCTCTTCTAGCCTTTCCTGAAATCCTGGAAAGATTTCAGGCTGGTCTATCTCATAAGCTTCTTCAAGCCTTGAAGTTAGGTCAGTTCGGTGTTGACTTACCTTTTCTCTTTGGTCGAGATACTCTTGTGATTCCTGCTCATTGAGCGGATGATCGAAGGTGATAGATGCTTCTTCGATTTTACACGAGCCTTCTTCAACGTTGAAGGGATACACAGATAGGATAGTGAATAATCCTTCTGGGGAGGAATGGAATATTTGATCGACAATATCGTCCTCAGTTAAGTATTCTTCAGGGATGAGGCCTATAATTTGGTATTGGAAACCAAATGTATAGTACTCAGCATCCAATGCTAGACCTAACAATGTTCCTTTTGGTAAAGTAACACTATTGGGTGTAACATTGTTGACCATGATATAGGTGGGATTCTTACCAATACTTACCATTGGTGTATGTGTTACCACCATCCCTAATTGTTGTATCTTGTTGGATAAACAGATTAGGGCATCAGAGTTTTCCAATCTCTGACCCTCCTTGACCTGTAGGGGTAAAAGAAAATTACTTGTCCCTTGGGGAATGGTTATGTCATCAGGAACTTGGATACTTACCGCATATGGGAGTATTTGTCCTGATTTCAGGGCGTTTTCCTCGTGTAGGTATCCACAAGGATTACCCCTTAACCTTGTCCACAGGTTGGAATTAATCAGGTCAAGGTGTATGGCAAAGCGATGTATGACATCATTGCCGATGTAAACCTGATAGCGAGGTTCGTTTATCACTAGGAATAAATGTTTAACTGTCTTATTTCCGATGGAAATAGATAGTAAACATTTTGCTATCACATTGTGACTCTCTGATTCGCCATCCAGATTCTGGATCCACCTGTCATGTGGGGAAGCGTACCTGATCATTTTAGGATTAGCGATCTGCTTTAACAGACTTCTGCTAATATAGCTGTTCTCACTCTGTAAGTCCAGCTTTGCATTCCTACTTCTTCCTAAGTCATTTATTTGCATAGGAAAGAATAAGTTGTTATTAACCCTTTCAATTCTGGCAAGGAATTGAGCATGACCTACCAGATCTACAGATTCAACATAGTCCCTGTGGAGAGAAATGGTTAAAACATCACCTTCCAGAGAGACATTCTGGATCCTCTCTGGAGCAATTCTTATGGAATGCTCATCTACAGGTGCG